GCGGGGCCGTGAGGGGCGGCGGGGCCGGTCCTGGGGGATGCGGGCCGCCCTCACCTGGCGCGACAAGGCCGAGCAGTGGTGAGCGGCCCTGGGGGACAGCTGGGTTACCCCGCTCCGCAGCCGGGACGGCCGGGGGCGCGGCCTGTGAGGAGCCGTGGTGGGCCGGGGGCGGGCCGGCCGCGGCCTGGCCATCGGGACAGCCTGGGGAGCGGGGCCGGGCACGGCTCGGGGAGCCTCGCCGGCCCGGCTCTGCCTTGGCACCGGTAGATGGGCTGCAGAGGTGCTGGGCCGAGCGTTCCCCCTCCCTTGGCAGGCCAGCTGCGGGTTCTGCGGCTGGGCTCCGCTGGGGTCCTTCGGGGTGATCCAGTAACACGGGGGCTTCATGGGGTCCTTGTTGCTTTATTCCCTTTACATTTAACCAAAGCCCAGCAGCCTGCGTCTGGCTGTGTGCGAGGGTATCACTGCTGGCTTCTGCCGAACCCGCCGTCCCCCGGTGTCCGGGCCGGGGGCTGGGTGGGGGCTGGTGCTTGGGCCTCTCCCGAGCACGGGGAGGCAGTCACAGAGGGGTCTGGTTTGGGCAGTTTTCTCAGGAATCAGATACAAGTATGCAATTAACAATTTTTGTTATGTGGCATCTCTGATGTTAAAGAAAAAACATTTTCTGCCTGCTAATATGGGGGTTTCTTGGGGGTGTGTGTTTTGGTTTCTTTTAGTATTTATGATCTTGCATTCAAGCCGGATGGGACTCAATTGATAATTGCTGCTGGAAACAGACTGCTGGTAGGGAAACTTACTCTTCCTCTTGCAGTTACAGCTGTATGAATATGATTTCTGGCACATTAGCTTATGAATATAACCTATCAAAAATCCTCTTATCTCTACTAGTCCAGCCTCATATCTATGTATATATTAATGCGTCCTAACTGTAAAGTGTTTTGAAGCTTTTAAATGTTTCTTACCAAGTTTTAAGCTCTATTTCCAAAAGTAATGAGATTTAATTTACTTGCATCATCTCATCCTCTCTCCCCTTGTCTGGTGGTTTGAAATCCATTAGCCTGCATCCAAATTCAGGACAATGGTGTGGTATACGAATACTGCATTGTTACAAGTCTCATGCAAGTCTCTGTGAAAAGGGGAAAGAAACTCAAATTAATGTCCCTACTTTGTGAGAAGCTTCAACTCGAGCTTCTTTGTGGTTCTCTAGGTCTGCTTGCCTGCTGCTGACCCCTCAGCAAGAGCAACTCAGGACTACGGTTCCTGCAAAGCTTTCAGATGGGGCGGGGGTAGAACCTGAGGGGTGGGTGCCTGGATGGATGGCAGGGCAACAGAGATGTAGCTCAGAACTGCAGGACAGTGGGCTTTGTTATTTCCACTGCTCACATAATGGTATATTTAGTGATGGTCCTTTCCAGTAACTCATGTTTAAACATCTAACGTGGGGAGAAAAGTAAAACAAGCTGGCCAGATGAGCTGTTTGGAAATCTCTTTTGTGCATGTAACTTTTAAATGCTGAGTTAAGGAAAGCTGCTTCTATACTTTAAAATGTTTTAAAATGTTTTGTCCTGCATGGACTGTGTGCTATGCAAAAAAAGCAGACACCAAAGAAAGTGTATAATCTTCTTGGCCTTCAGTAATTTTATATCCTAGTCCTCGCTGGAAGATTTTTTTACATATTTTCTTTGTTTATATGTTTGTGTTGTGCTTTTTGTTTTAGTTTGGTTTTTTTGTTGTTGTTTTTTTTAAATTTAATTTTATTTCCCTGTTTAAATAGGTATATGATACTTCTGATGGAACCTTAATTCAGCCTTTGAAAGGACATAAGGACACTGTATACTGTGTGGCTTATGCTAAAGATGGTAAATATCACCTTGGGTGGCTTTTCTAGTCTGGTTTATAAAGTGCATATCTTCTTTTTTTTATTGCCAATTGAAAAATCAGGGTTGTGTCAGTAACAGGATTTTGAAGATGTGTGTGAGTGGTGTTTGGTTTTGATGGAGAGCTTGAGCTGCTCTGCAAATGCTACATGCAGAAGTGCTGTGTTTTTACGTGTAAGGCTACCTGTTGATTCAAGAAATGCAGTCCACTTCCTCTCCCCTTCTACTTCAGTGCTGGTTAAGTTTATATTTTTGGGGGGGGAATGTGAGGAGAAGGCTTACCCCAGAGATCCCTCTTTCTAGTACTCCATCTGCCTCTGCTTTTTATTCCCATAGTTCCTCTATCCCAAAGCTTCCCGATCTTCTGATCCTTCACACATTACCATGCTCACTACAGACCTTATTCTGCTTCCAGTTCTTTCATTGCCTCTGATTCTTATTCTGTGGAGACTTACTGTCTATGGACTCAAAGGACTTCCTCTCAAATACTACTGTTTAAGTTACAGGTGATACCTGTGAAAATGTACCATTTTTGCCTTGACACCTTTAACGTAAAGCTCTGACCCGTGGCTGGCAGCGTTGGAAAGACCGGCTACTTGCTTGCATGGCTGGGCTTTAATGAGGCGTGCTCTGTGGGAGTAACAACATCAAGTTACTGGAGTTGAGAAGCGCAGTCACATCAAAAGGCTTGCAGTGTTAGGCCCTTTATTTCTTGAGCCTTGTCAAGTTCAAGAACCTCTTGCTCTCTCTTTGATCGGGTATTTGGAGTGAAAGTGATTCTTGTATGTGTGGGATTTAAATTATATTTAATTCCTAGGCAAACGTTTCGCATCTGGCTCAGCTGATAAAAGTGTGATAATTTGGACTTCAAAGTTAGAAGGAATTCTGAAATACACGTAAGTGATGCCTTTCAATTCTGTGCCTCTCAAAAATGGACTTTGATTATGCACTTCTGCTGTCAAAGAGTACGTGCCGTTAGATTTGGAAGAAGGCTGACTGAGGTCAGAGAAAATGCCAGGGGGTAATAGGAGAGGGAAGAGGAAAAGAACAGTCAAAGTATCTGAATGAGGCAGCAAAGCAATTAAAGGCATAAAAGAGGGTGGGAAATCTAGATAAATCTCTGAATGTAGAGGGCTGGCAGAGAACTGGGGAAACTCTGTGTAGATGGAAATAAAATGAAACAGAATGTGACTCTGATCTTGTATAATAAACAAAATTAATATAACTCTGGTTCAAAGCCAAATTAAAGATATGGGTTGGTACTTTTGGTATATTTCCGTCTTTCTTCTGGCTTTGTTTTTATGTCATCCCTCTTAAGTGACATCTTCAAATTCTCTTTCTGAATGTGTGTGTACATTTATTGCTAGTAAGTATGTACAAACTAGTCTGCTACTGGGAACATGCACAAGCATACTTGTTTTAGAATTTGGATATGACCTTTAATCATATTTCACAAACCACCCTCTCTGTACATTTTTAGCTAATCTTGATGAAATTCAGTGAAACCTGCCACTTAGAGACAACTTTTTAAGGTTTATTACTGATTTAGTTTACATTAACTGTAGATTAATTTGATGTAATATATACTGATCGAATTATTTCTGGCATCTGGTAGACCTTTCAGCTATCTTGCTGAAAGCCAGAAAAGGGAGCATTTAAGAGTGATTTATTGAAATATGATTGTAACTTCATTCTAGGCATAATGACTCTATACAGTGCGTTTCATACAATCCTCTTACTCATCAGCTGGCATCCTGTTCTTCCAGTGATTTTGGTATGTTCTCTTCCTCTAATGTTTCCATTAGGCCATAAGCTCTATTAAAGTTGTGTAGCTAACTGCAGATAGCTCCAGTTCTTTATATCTGGAAAAGGTGAGACAAACCTACCTAAAGTTAAGTGACATTAGTTATGTTTATTTAAATCACTTAAATGCAGTTGGAAAGGACCATGTAGCGAGGTCCCATGGTGTAAAATGTCCTACTTTGGTACTATGATTTTTTGTGGAGACACCCTCTGTGTTATTATGATGGATTTTTTTCCCCCCGTTTACTGATAAATAATAAGTATTTAAATGTCCTTCTAGCAGTGGCTGAGACTTTGATCCCTCTGAAGTCCCAACTGAGTTTTCTGACAATGTTAGTGTCTAATCTGAACACTGGTAAATGCTCACTTCTGATTTACTTTGGCTTTCTGTTTGCTTTAATCAAGGCTTGTGGTCTCCTGAACAGAAGTCAGTCTCTAAACATAAAGCTAGCAGTAAGATTACTTGCTGTAGGTAAGTTTTAAGCATTACCTGTGTCATTTAAGCTAATTTCAATAAAACAATTCAACATAAAACAATTCAAAATAATACGCAAGCTTAAAGGAAAAATAGTTGAAGTGAAATAGTTAATTGTGTGCAGGGCCAGCACCGAGCAGTACGAGAGGGGCTCTCCTGCCTTGCTGCTCAGTACCATCGTATACTTCCTGCAGCCTTGCCTGTCTTGTAATTAAAATACACCAGTAGCATTTATAATGCTCCAGTATTTATTAATAGTGACTACTGTTTATCAGATGATTTGTTCTTTCTTGTGTTGTCTTCTCAGAGCTTTTCTT